AAAAAGCTTAGCCAGGTCCTTCACTTGAGTTCGGTTTAAAACAGTCTCCTCAAGGATGAAGTAAAGGAAGCTGAGAGAGGCTCTAGTTAATGAGAGAACACGTAGGAAACGAGGTAAGCCTCTACCCCTACAGGAGGCTGAGGAGTATCATGGTGGAGCTGTATTCTGGTCTCCAAGGAAGGTGAAGGAGGCGCGCGATCGCCTACAACTCCAGGAGGAGGAGGAGGAGCAACTGCAACTCCAAAAGGCTGATACGAGAAGACAGCGTGAGGAGACAAGGCAGGTTAGGGCGAGGGAGAAGGAGCAGAGGCGTCAGGCGAGGCTTGCAGTAAGTCTAATGAGGCAGAAGGAGAGGGAGGAGAAGGCTATTGAAAAGGCCTCAAGGATCGCGGCTCGCAAGGCTGCAAAACAACTTCAAAAAGCTATTAAAACTTCTCAAAGGGGTAGGAGAAGGAGCTTCATGGCTCCTGCAAAGGCTACTCAAAAAAAGAAGCCTATCGCGAGGCCTCAAGGTGGTGAGGAGCCTCAGGGAGGTGCTGCAAGCTCACCACCTCCAACCTCGCGTCGCGGCCGCGCGATTAGAACTCCGTCTCGATTTCTATAGCTGTATATATATATTAAAGCCTATTGATCTCACCACCAAAATATATCGTGATAATATCTATTTGGTGTGGCTCTATAGCCTCGTTTTTAAGGTAGTTTTGGTGAGGCCGCGCGCGCACTTTGTGGTCGCGCGCACTTTGTGGTGGGGCTAGTTAAGTAACGCACTGTAGCCTCGCCGTCTGGCCCGTGCCTGCCTTTCCGCCCCCAACTTCTGCATCTTCGCAAATTGCCCATATATGAAATCTCACCGAGTACTCCGTCCAAGTAAGCTAGCATGGACTACGCCCGGTAGCGCTCCCAATACACTAGCGGTAAGTAGACGCCAAGCATGTGACTAGTGGTACCAGGGTTGCAATAAGTATGTCTGGAATATCACTATCAGTCAACGAGACGCCTAACTGCTCATTTGCCGTCTGGCCGAAGCTCTTGCGCCAAGACCTGTCAATCCAAGCCATTTCTCGTGATTCTAAATCCGTAGAGGGCAGAGCAGATTGTAAGCCGGATTTGGTCGTACCTCCGTGTGCCCAACTGATCCCCGTCGAAGGTAAGGACCCTTGCCTGGGACGGTGTTACCTATCATCGCTCCAAGGGAAAGATGGGTGCAGATCGTTGAACCTCCATCGAGACACTTCCGTTGTTTTCACACTGTCTCGTCCTGATTTCTTCTGGCAACTCCGAGATGTTTTCATTGTCGCATTGTGCACCCTCGCTCATTCATCTGCTGTCATACTTTGTCAAAGTCAGCATGAGGTTTCAACTCGCCGCCGCTCTCTTTCTTCTCTTACAGAATGTCTCAGCTGGAGGATATCAAGGATGTCTCGAACGCGTGCATTTATTCCAAGCCTATGACATCGAGGAGCTTCTTCCAGAGGCAGATCGTATACTTGGAAAACGATGTGCTGACTGGGACGAGGGGGCAAAAACCTGTCGGAAAAGTGAGTATTCCACAAGTTTCTAGAATATTGCTTCACTAAGGGAGTTGTAGATCAATACGAGACATGCACTGTGTTATGGCACAGCGCTTACCTCATGGGGACTAGTGCCTTGGCTCTCTGCCTGTACTTAGACTGCTGCGAAGCTGCCCCCACCACCAATCAAGCTTGTACACTACTTTGTCCGCATACCTGTTCTACTACGTTTTGGCTGTTGGCATTGGGCCATAGCACACTGGCTCTCGTCCCAATAATCGCTGCACTTTTGACGAGCTCCAGGACTTCATGAAACCGAAGAAGGAGAAGTCATCTTGGACCGGCACTGGTGTTTATCAGAGCAATGGAAAAATCGCCATGGAACAATCGGCGGTCAATTGCTACAAGCGATACATTGGCCGAAAGATGCCTAACTTTCCTGCATAGTAAGTACATAATCATGACCTCTATATATCCACGTCTGAGATCAATTGCACACTCTTGGTGTTCATCTCGCTGGTTGTAACAAAGCAAAGCCATGTCAGGTAATGTGCACAAGTACAACGACTATTTGAAGAAGCTCGGGAATCGTGTAAGTACATTCTATGTATCTGCTGTCAAATAGCTACCTACTGAGCGTTTCAAGGTCGATTTCGTCTTCCGCCAACAGACGGGTGATACAAGCAGACATCTTTTTGACGACTTCGATGGCACACGCGATGAGATCAACAAAGTGCGGGCTGGCGATCACGGCAATCATCTTGTCGATGCTGCCAAGGCATCGAACGTGAACAACATCGTAGTGAAAGATTTCGGTACAAGCAAGGCGACTAGCGAGAAAATGGAGGCAGTAGATTGGGCGAAGACAGCAAACAATGCCAGGGCCAAAGGAGATAATGACGTCACCGCCCGTATCAGAGCATTCGCAAACAACTTCTATCATGCCGCCGGCAAGGAGGCCGCGAGCGCAAGACAACATTTGCAAGTCTTTAGATCATGCAAGTACATGGAGGATCGAGCAAAGAAATGTGGAAGGAGGACTTGAGATGCGGTGTGTACGTAAGTACGGGGTGGTTGTCGGCTCAGATCTGGGACGGCCTTCTTTCCTCTACTCACATTTTGTTGCAGCTGTGTATTCGTGTGCTTGTACGATTACCAATTTCTCAAGACATGAAAATGCAATCTTGTCCCTTCTTCATGTTTTTTTCCAGGCATTAGAAACCTTTGTTCCCTGGTAGGATGAAGGCATGTATCCACAGAATGTGACGCTGAACTGAAGCTATCCATGGCAAAGTTCAGTTGGTGCATTCGACCGTAAGGAGCATTTGTTTCAAATTTTGGCATAATTATCGTTCTTCTCTCAAGACGACGAAGCAAGCAAGATCATCTGCTCATCCCTTCCTTCGGTCCATACATCGTATCAATCTCATCTTCTCCGTCGGGTCCTCTGAATACTCGTTCGCGATTGTCAGGATCAATGAAGAATACGCTTTCATCCCCACATGGCCAGTAATGTTCCTCTGTGGCTCCAACACATGAGAAGAGACCATCCAAGGGCACGACCCAAATTTCCTTTGCGTTGACAAAGTACTTGACATCTTCAACCTCGGTATGATAAAACCATTCTGCCTGCATCTCGCGTGCGAACCTTAGGTGTTGAATGGAGGAGGCGACCGGCTTGAAACTGTCAAACATCGACTCTCCAATGTCGATGGTGTCGGTAGCAAAATCAACCCAGACATACCTACGCGTTTGCACCACGACTTAGCATTGCATAAATTTCACAGGTAATGGATAGCTGCTTACTGCGCTCCATGCCCGTGCACAGCTAGTTCAGAAAAAGCTTTTTGGTATAGGCCATGGTTCTGTGCTTCCCTGCAGGCTTGTAGGACGGCGGGCACAAGTGTCGATGAGATGAGGTAGTACTCTCGGTCAGTAGGAGTTTGGTGCGTAAGCTCAGCATTCACTGTGCGAGGCTCCACTGTCATTTCTCATATTTGCATACGGATCTCGTACGGTAGACGCGGAAATGGGTGAAAAGCTGTCATGCCGCAGCGAAAAACCGCTGGAGATGAGACTAGTACGATACGGGTCAATCTCCGGCCAGCGCAGTGGAGTAGTGGGTTTGGTGGTGGCGTGGGGCAAGTTCATGAACAAGCAGAGTTCGTCGTTTGCGAAGTACTTACTAGTTTTTCCATGTGAGTTGAACCAAGAACTGGCAGTGGAAGAGGTCACATGATCGCCAGTTCAGGGTCCATGGTTGCAGTAGCGGTGGCGGCTCTAACCGTCAACCGGGCCGCCTTAAGGACACGGCCTCTTTGGCCTTCCCGTTCGGGCTGCGATCTTCCGCCCCCAACCTTCGGCGAGATTCCAGGGCCCTTTGAGAACCGATATGAGAGCAGCAAAACCGTTATCTCTGGCCAAGGTAAGGCTTCCCGTGCAAGCTAGAGAGCAATTTCCCTCTTACCCGGACCTCATAATGGCCGTAACGTAAGGCGAACACCGTGAATAAGGAACATATGGAATGCCGGATGCTAGTCAGATACTGCCAAGACAATCACCCGGAGAAGCTTATCGGATTAATCTTGACCGGCACGTGAACTGATCTATAGTATCGTTCGCTAAGTCGAGGATGTCTGGCTCAATGAGCCTCCTTCGCTGCAGTGTGCCCACAATCTCCTGTGCCGTCTAGAGGACCTCCGGGGCTCGAACATTCCTTATTATAGATTTCACTATATGCAGGGACGGCCATGTGTGGATGCATGGGTCGAATTTTACAACGCTTGTTTGAAATTTTAGTCTGCGCTAATACGATAAGCTTGTTCCTAGAGCACCCGAGGCGGCTCCCAAGAGCCTGGTCACAGCCCATTATCTGTGTCACGTGCACCACAAATGGTGCTTGCTTCAAGTTCACAATTCCGTGTTTCTTTCGCGGCAATTATCTCCATCTCCATACCACAGTCGCTTTCAATTCTACCCCATCTTCAACACGAAGTCTTCATTCTTCTTGTCAGTATTCTTGTTAGCTCACCGAGCCATCTGCACTGGCTCGCCACTGTACCAGTATGATCCCGACACAGTGAAGGATTGCATCGAGTGGTACAACAACGACGAAAGTGATACCTGCGACTATGTGCGCAAGTACTTTGGCATAACCCCAGCAGAGTTTACGGCTTGGAACCCTTCCCTCAGCACCAACTGCGAGCCATGGTACGAGTGGACGTCGTACTGCATCGTCACCGAAACAAAGCTAAACGCCACGAGACCAACGACAACCTCATCCTCCAAGGTCTCTTCCAGTACGACCGGCGTCGCCACGCTTGCTCCGTCTCCAACTGCCTGGACGGCACTTGGCTGCTACGTGGAAGACTCGACCATGCCAATCCTGGAGCAAAACATGAACCCGAACGGCGACTCGTCTCTCACTATTCCCAAGTGCAAGAACAGTTGCTCCCGCCGTGCATTTGGATTCGCAGGTGTCCAGAAGGGCAACCAATGTTGGTGCGGTAGCTACGTTGGCGGAAGCTGGGCCAGCAACCAAACCTACTGCAACTCGACATGCACTGGCGACAAGAACTCATTTTGTGGCGGAAATGGATATCTCAATGTCTTCAAGGCTTTGCAAAATCTAGCAACTACTTCTGCTTCTGCCACTTCTGCTTTTACTACTACCTCTTCTGCTTCTACTGCATCTACCGCTGGTGCGAACAAGCTCGGTGCGGCGATTAGGAACGTAGGTTGGGAGGGACCGTGGGCTATGTAATCTTCGATCAACTTCTATGCATTCACTGTCTTCGTAATCTATTTCGATGATATAACCCAACATTTAAAAAGTGAATTTTGACGTCGTCACAAGTGTAAAGCCAATCTTGATGTTCTGTCGCGTCGAAGTGAGGATACCACTATTTCTGGCAGTGACCAGCCGTTGGGAGATCAGGCCTTGCACTATGTTCGATCATGAGGGATTTTGCTTCAATGATTCAGGCCCAGAGACTGATGGACAGCTCACCACACTGCACTTACTGCGCAACTTCTGCTGTAGCACGTGAGAAAAAAACTGCTCCGCCTCTAAGATTTCTGTCCTGCGGTCTTTCCCTAGATTACTTCTTTACTAGAGCCGGTGAACCACTTCGAGCTGTACGCTTCCCATATCATGCCAAGACGACCGTAAGAACTATCCGTCCAAGATCTAAATTGCACATTCTGATCTGCACGGCCACCTGCCTAAATGGGCCCTGAGCACGTTTTTCAACATTACCGGCAGATCTCTAGACATCTAGGAACTGTGAATGATTTGCATCGGAAATGACTTCTGAACTAGGAAATCACGTCTACGGAACCTGGGTATCGCTGCTCCCGCGATTCTGGTCCGCCAAGCCGAGCCATATCCATTATAATAGATTTTCAAGTACCAGAAAACGTTTGACGTATGACTGGGGTCCATTGAATCAGGCCTAGGCTGTATGCTACCGACCTCTGGGTTACATCGCCGCGAGGCTATCCCAATTCGAAGGAAGGAAGCACTAGTAACCTCGTCTGGCTTTGTGGTGTGCCTCGCCGGCCCTACGAAGGATGAAGGAACCTCCTCCATGAGGCGTTCTGCAAGTAAGCAGGAATCTTCTCTGGGGGATTGCGCTAGTATCGAAGTGAACGAACAATTTTTTTCAATCAGGTGGTCACAATACGAAACGAGATAGATTCATCATCTTGTAGTGTATATAGAGCATTCCAAGGTTACCTCTGGATCCTGTGGACGGCAAGAACACAGCTCACTCTTTTGCTTCGACGTTTTTGATCATTCGTATTAAATCATGTTTTCATTATTTTCTTTGGATAGACTGCTTCTTGGTACCAGCGTTCTCAATGCTGCGCTTGTTCTCGGAGCACCTCACCTTGTTGAGCGCGATGGATCGTCTCCTTCACTTTTATTTGATCCAAACACAACCAAGTACTGTTCTTGGTGGGTTGAGTTGACCTCGGAGAGGGACTGCTCTCCTCTTCTCGAGCAAAACTTCATCACTCTCGAGGACTTCTGTCGCTGGATAATACATCTTCCTCCCGTTTTCATTAATGTCAACATCGCTGACACGAAACTAGAACCCTTCCATCACTACTGACTGTGGTGGTCTCGTCGTCGGAAACTCTTATTGCGTAGAGACTATGAATGAGCCTGCTTCGAGTACTTCCTCGTCAACTTCTTTTTCGACATCTATTGCTACCTCTACCTCGGTCAAGCCTACGTTGTCTTCTTCGTCAAAGCCCGTAATTACAACTCCCTCTATCACCGTCAAGCCGTCTACATCGACTACTGTCCCGCCTACGACAACGAAACCCTCCAATGGAGTTGATACTCCCTCTCCGCTGCAACCTAGTATCGTTGCCAACTGTGATTCTTTCTACTATGTGAACAGCGGCGATAGCTGTGAGATAATCGCCAAATCCAACGGTATCTCCACTGCTTAGTTCCTCTCCTGGAACCCAAGTGCTGGCTCCGACTGTACCGGGCTCTGGGCCAATGCATACGCATGCATTAGCATCATCGGCCACACACCTACTTCTGCAGCTCCCACGACGACCACAACTGGCAATGGTATCGCAACTCCGTCTCCGATTCAGGATGGCATGGTCCGTAACTGCGACAGCTTTTACATGGTAAAATCAGGTGACACCTGCGATAAGATCTCCTCTAGCAAAGGCATCACTTCGGCTCAGCTCATCTCCTGGAATCCGGCTGTCGGCTCAAACTGTGGTAGTTTGTGGCTCGATACTGTAAGTTACTTCTTACTCCACATAGTAGAACTCAGCGTGAGCAGTTCGCTAATTTTTTGTTATAGTATGTATGCATTTCTACCGTCGGACACACACCCACGACTACTACCACCAAGGCTCCAGCCACCACGACCAAACCTGGTAACGGCGTTGCCACGCCTACACCGTACCAGACTGGTATGACCACAAGCTGCAAGACCTTCCACTTCGTTGCAAGTGGTGAGACTTGTGCGACGGTCTCTGCGAAGTACAAAATCACCACAGCAAACTTTACTAAGTGGAATCCTGCGGTCGGTAGCGCATGTGCTGGCTTGTGGGCTAACACGTATGCGTGCATAGCTATATTGTAGGCGTATATAACCGTTGTTGTAGTATAAGAAGAGTACATAATGTTTAACTATATTTTCTCTTATATAGTAACTGGCGTCCACTTTCTTAGAGAGTCATATAGCGATATAAGCTACTTGACCGCGATAGATGTATCAATCATCAGTAGTTTTAATCTACTGATGATTCATTTTTTTACTGAGGATCAAAAGATCTACACTTTGAGCTGTGTATACAAACGTAATAGTGAAAAAGAAAGAGTGAATTTTCTGCTGTGAAACATGATTTTAGCTGAAGATAGACCCTCAGCTGCTATATACATAGCTTTCAAAGTGTAAGAGAGTTGTTTTCTTCTGTATATTATATTTATTGTAACGTCAAAGTATAGCGAGTGGCCGAGAATAGCGAGTGACCGAAAATGCCAAGCCCCCATCAACTTTCACTACTACTCGCGATGTCTCAACAAATTTATTCAAAAAAGTCTTTAAAAGAGTCTCAAGTACAGCTTGCAATTCAGGCTATTAAATGCGACGCGACAATTAACATTCCACGCGCTGCAGCTCTCTACAACGTGCCTGAACGTACCCTAAGACGAAGACTCGCAGGAAAGCCTTCTCGACAAGATTGTTCGCCCAACTTAATAAAACTACTTATAACAGAAGAGGAGGTAATTGTCAAGAATATTCTTGATCTTGATGCAAGAGGATTTCCGCTGCGCCTTTCTACTGTCAAAGATCTAGCTAATTCTTTGCTGGCTGCCCGCCACCGCGACCCTATTGGCCCTAACTGGCCTAAAGCATTCATAAAGCGTCGCCTAGAGCTTAAGATAAAGTTTAATCGAAAGTACGACTACAAGAGAGCCCTTTGTGAAGATCCTAAGCTTGTGTAGGGCTAGTTCCGCCTTGTACAGAATACTAAAGCCAAGTATGGGATCCAGGACGACGACATGTATAATTTTGACGAGACGGGCTTTATAATAGGCATGCACAACTCGTCAGCAGTAGTCACAGCCTCTAATCGTCGATTAAAGCCAAAATCTCTGCAGCAGGGCAATAAAGAGTGGGTTACCAGCGTAGTTTGTGTCAGCGCAGCTGGCTGGGCGATCCCACCCTTCATCGTCTTTCAGGGCAAGCACCACCTCTCTGCCTGGTACAAGGAAGACAGCCTGCCTAGGGATTGGGTTCTCGCAGTCTCTGAGAATGGCTGGACAACAAACGAGCTCGGTATGAAGTGGCTAGAGCACTATAACAGGCATACAAAAGAGCGTACTGTTGGAGCCTATCGCCTACTCATTCTAGACGGTCATGAGAGCCACAACTTAGTCAACTTCCAGCAATACTGCACAGAAGCAAAGATTGTTACTCTATGTATGCCTCCGCACTCTTCCCATCTACTGCAGCCTCTTGATGTGGGGTGTTTTTCGCCTTTAAAGAGGGCATATAGGCGCCAAGCCAAGGAGCTGATGCGCAATAGGATCAACCATATGACCAAGATAGAGTTCTTGCCAGCCTTCTAGCAAGCCTATTTTCAGACAGTTACAAAGGATAATATCCTAGGAGGGTTTCGAGGCGCCAGATTGGTTCCACACGACCTAGAGGTGGTGACATCAAAGCTAGATGTTAAGCTGCGCACCCCTTCACCACCTGCTGCTAAAAATCTACACTAGCAATCGCAAACCCCAAGCAACACCCTAGAAATAGGGCTGCAATCGACGCTAGTGAAGCAGAGGATTCAAATACACCTAGATAGTTCACCAACAAGTATGCTAGGTGCTGTTGAAAACCTAGTTAAAGGTGCGACTACTATTGCGCATGAGTTGGTGTTAGTCAAGAAACGGGTCTCTAAGCTTGAAGCAGCGAATGAAGCCGCCACGCGAAGGAGATCACACAAAAGAAAGCGGCTACAGAAAGGAGAGACCCTAACGATTAAAGAAGGAGAGAAACTGGCAACTCTAAAGGAGTCTAGGGCGCGTGGTAGTGGGAAGAAGGCAAAGAAGGGAGAGAGCGCTGAAGTAGGCGAACTGTCGCAAAGGCGCTGTAGACGCTGCGGTGAGACTGGACACAACTCGCGCACCTGCAAGCAAGATAAAGAGGTTGATTCTAAATAGATTAGCCTTTTCTAATTTTAATTTACTGTTGTTGTTGCGCTGTAATGGTTGCGCAACGGTGGTGAGGTTGATGGGGGCTTGGCATTTTCGGTCACTCGCTATTCTCGGCCACTCGCTATACTTTGACGTTACTTGTTTTGTCTAAATGTAGTTACGTGCGTAATACTACACTATAAAGTATTTTATGAATAGAATAGATAAGGGCGAAGACTCGCCGCCAAGGTCTTATTCTCAACTCTAACCCTAACTGACTGGGTATACGTAACAGTTATCCTAACTTTAGACTGCGACGATTAGTATTCTACCGACTAGTACGCCCCGTCACAGAATCAGCACAGTTCTGGTCGAGACCTTCGTCTCCATCTCTCAAGAGACGAAATGAGGTTAAAGGTGCTAGCGGGTGGGCTGCTCTGCAGAGAAAATAGCTAATTTCACCTTAAGGAATGCACCATCATTCCTGCCGCGGAGCGCTTCAGCTATGTCGAACGGTCTGCAATACTGCTACCTTAAATTATCCTGAGCTTTACTAGATTTAATTCTTCTATCCCGCGGTTTGAGTGGTGTTTTTGACGTGAGGCTACACCAAATTCCGAGACCCTTGCACAAACGCTGGTGCGACTCACCATTGGGATAGAAAGAGTCCGTAGGGTTTCTTGCGTAAGGGCAGGGGAATGCTATATCTCTATCTTAGTATCTGCTCAATTTTCTATGACAAGATTGGCCACGTGTCAGGAAATACCCAAATACTACCGTCATCACCCTCTGCGATGGAGCGCTATTTATCTCAATCAGCATCAACAAGGCTCCTGTTGAGGAACATGATGCTGGCATATCTGCTCTGAAGCATCCCTCGCTTCCACTTTCGTTTTATTTCTTCTCAATATAATGACTGCGACTGTGAAGAACATAGCTAGTATAGCTCGGCTCGGATTATCTAGTAAACGTTTGAATACATATTATTTAATTGCGAAGTAATGAGTAAACGTTACCAAGGCTATTTTTCCAGTACGTGTCCTTATTCTCGCTCACCGCATGCTTTGCAGCTTTGACTATAGTACATTTACAATCACCTTCTCTTACTGCTGCCGATCTCTGATTTAGATCAGGCTGTAATACGGCGGTATTGCGCTTCAAGATTACTGCTTACTCAGGTCACAGAGCTATTAACTATTCAGAATCTGGAAGATATCGATTAGGCTAGCCAGTTATCATTAAACAGTTAGGTACTTAAAACTATACGCGGCTTTCAGGTGACATTGTTTGCGTTATCATCAAATTGTCTTAATGCATACCCTATTGTTTACTCCTCAAACCCTAAAGCTGCGATTAGTTATGTACATTAACTTATCGCGACATCCATCAAGAAACCTCAAGCCAAAGCAACTCAGTAAGCCAAGGAAACCAAAAATGAGGCTCATATTTCTTACTGCTCTAGCTTTTCTCGCTTCTTTTACCCTTGCAGATGATGTGGTCGTGACGGTATGGCGCCATTCAGCATAATACACAGAGATAGGGTGCATAATACTGATACATACTCGGGGCACAGTTATTCAGGGTACATTAGCTGCTGTGTGCGGTTATATGGGTAGCTATTGGAAAAGTCCTGTAATTCATCGGACTCCAATATTTCGCTACTACACTGTAAAGCGCAGTGGCTAATTCTCAGACTTATAGCGAGGTTCAAACCCTTCTTTGGCGGCAAATACACGGCAAGCATTGGTCGATTTTACGTCGATACTTGGCAACTTCAAGAGGACAAGTATGATTTGTGGTACACATGATCAGGCTTCGTATTAAATAGATAGTCCAAAAGATTATCAAGGAAGAGGATCCTGTCTTCTAGCTTTGCAATACTATTTCACAACTCATTACAATTCGCCGAGAGCCCCCTTTGACTCTCTCCTCGAGTGCTATTGGCTTCTTTACGAGGCCTAGCTCTGCCACTCTATGCTCATGTGAGACACACGTTGATGTTTATCGTGTGACCTTGTGAGCCTGCCGACTACCTAGATTGAACATGAAAATCTCCGGTATCTTGAAATCCGGAAAGAATGGCAGCAGGGCTTCTTGGAGGCAGCTAAGCAGTCTTTCTTCGTACATCATAACCCTCGAGAAGTAGTTTCAATAGAACTAAAGCTGCAATGATTGCTATCTTCTAATCAGGTAATGGATTAGCTAAACAAGATTTCCTCAGGTTAGCTTTGAGTGAAGCGCTTGTTCTTGCTTACAGTTACAGTAAAACAAACATGAAATTGTGACTTTACACAGTAGCTTACTTTCTGTGATTATACAGCTTCCTACTCTATCATACGTTTCACAAGCGAACCAGATGTTGTAACGTAGTGACTTCACAATATAGTATAGTACACGATAGAAGATAGTAGTAATGTTTTATGCCTTACATATTGGATACAATAGGTAGGCATTACTATGAACAATTAATTATAAAGCCTTACGGTTAAGGTGTATTTTCCCAGTAGTGGTAAGCCTCATGTATGCATTACTCCTATAGACACGGTCTACTTGCTTTGCTAAAGCTAGATTTTCGCCGTAGCGCTACTGCCAGGTCTAGCCTGTAGTAAAAAAGCCTCTTCATTTCCTTTCTTACGTGTGCAGAGGCTTTTTTCAGAATCCCTATCGGAAATCATCTAGTCTAATCCACCTATCGCTAGTGCTAAACTAAAAGATAGGCCTAGCCTGATGAGAGTCGTAAGTAGACAACTTACGCCCTGTGAACCTATCACGCTCCCTTTCCACAGCTACTATAAGCTTATATCTGATATAATACGTAATGAAAGATCTTGGCTATAAGTACTTGTACAATCACCTGCGATACTACAAAACCTATTAACAGCTCAATATCAACTTATTAGTACCGTACACCGTTGTATCTTTACTTCATCATGAAGATTTATC